AAGTGATCACTGAAGCGGCGGAGAAGGCTGGGCAGGCAAGCGCGAAGCCCTTTCTGCGGATCAGGGTTGTGGAATTGAACAGCGCATTCCTCGTTGTGCCCTAATGTGCAGGGCGAGCAGATTCGATTGCGAAGGAGCATGAGCTTACTCTCAACTGGGACATGGAAGGCCTCGCAATCGATGGGTAAGGTCAAGGTTATGGATGAGCACGCCAACCAGTTAAAGGTCAGCACGAAGGTCGGGCCTGATGGTTTCGTCATCAAGGGTTCTGGGGGGTGAGGGGGGGCGGCCCATCGGGAACGGGTGCGATGTGTTGGCGGCTTCGGTCGTCTTTTGCACTGCTCATCCTGGCAAGACCTAGATGTTGACCTAGCAAATTGTTTGTTGTGAAAGCACTGGCTTGTTGTGAGCCACTGCGGCGGGTGGATGGGCATGATTGTGTCCGCGATCATGACTACCACAGCCATGAACAAGACCTGCAGTGAGCAGGACACGGAAAGTGGGTTGTCATGCTGCAGTGGCTCATCGAGAGTGGGAAGGGGAAGCTCCACGGTGATCCCTCCAGCCGGAACCTCGCGCCATGTCGTGGCGAGGGTCACCGCGCTTCACATGTCGGACATTCCCGTGGGAATGGTTCTGTTCTGGGCCGCTGCCGGGTCACTGGCTGGCCAGACTGCTTTGCTTGAGCTTTTGGAAAGCCAAGAGATGAAGATGGGGGCGGACAGCAGATTTGGGTGGTGCGTCGCTGGGCTCACTGGGCATGCTGGGCTCGCCCTTGGTGGGTTCTGACGATAGCTTCCGGGCAAGGATCGCTGAAGGGGGGCTTGGGGGCCCTGTAAGGCCAGGGTTTTTAGGTCAGCAGGTAGCGTGTGTATGAGCCAACGGCAGGCGATGCTTGACGATGCCGTCGCCACCCGATGCCACACCCGCCTGGGGACGCTAACACAAACGTCCACATAGCCCCGAGCACGAGCAATTTCTATTGGATGATGGCGCTCTGATGGATCTTATCTGATCATCTGATAAATTACCCACAAGAGCAAGCGGAAACGACTGAGACAAGACAGAACAGAACGAGAGAGAGCCCGCGTTCGAATTTTTTCCTCGGAACTCTTGGCTTGGCCTAGATCTGGAAATCTCCAGCCCATGGTGGGGCTGATCCCTGCTCTCTCTCTCGCTCTCACTGTGTTCCGAAGCCAGGCACGCCCTTGGGTATCTGTGTGCCGTACCAGCGTACCTACCTCACATGGTACACTGGCAGGTACCTACCTGGTTGCCGGCGGGACTGCCAGCCTGACCCGCCCACACCATCCGGTACCTACCTCCCTGCACCTACCTCCCTGCACCAGCACCAGTACCGGCCGGGCTTGCAGCGTGGGCTGGCGAGGCTTGCAGGCGCAGGAGCCTGAGAAGACGCAGGAGCGACCCCCGTACCAAGTAGATCCATGGTGGGGTCACTACTGGGTAGGTCCTGCATCACATCTGGGTGTGATGGGGACTGATGGGACCGATGGCCCTGATGGACGGGAAGCTTTGCCTGGCGTGCCATTGCCGATTTTTCTTATATAGCATCGACGCACTGCAACTGTCGATCCCTCTGCTGCCCCCGTCCCCTTCGCCCTCATCCCTCTCCTACAGACCTGCGAGCACCCTTCTTGTCTGCGTGGTTCTTCGCAAGCAGCCGACTACACCATCGTCTCATCGATCCCGGTGCTCTACCCGACCATGGCTTCCTACCCTCAAGAGACCCTGCCCAAGGGTGACGGGGCCCCTGCCTACCTCCAGGCCCCTGTGCCTGCCCTTGGCTCTGCGCCTGTTGCCGGCGCTGGCAACGACAACATCGACATTGAGAAGAGTGTTGCCGCCAACCAGGCCGTCGACGAGATGCCTCATGATGACCTCAAGGCCGACTCGGATGCCGACTCGGCCAACTTCCAGGGCGGTGTCCGCCGTGTGCGTGCCATCACCACTGTCTGGTCCAAGAAGACGCTGTGGCTGATGTTTGCCCTGTATGTTATCCCGTTGCGGATATATCGATTGTAAAGCTGACAGCTCAAAAAGTCTCTACCTCGTCTCTTTCGTCGACCAGCTGACCGTCTCCATCACCTACGCCCTGAACCCCTACATCACCTCGTCCTTCGGCAAGCATGGCCTTCTCGCCACCGTCGGCATCGTGTCCAGCATCGTCGGCGCCTGCACGTCCCTGACTCTCGCCAAGGTCATCGACATTTGGGGCCGTATCGAGGGCTTCATCTCCATGACTGTCATCATCGTCATTGGCACCATCATGAAGGCGACTTGCCAGAACATGGAGGCCTACGTCGCCGCGCAGACCCTGTGGTGGGTTGGTCACCTCGGTGCCCTGTTCACCATCGACGTCATGTTGGCCGATATGACTTCCCTGCGCAACCGTATGATCATGTTCACTGTCAACGGCACCCCTCTGATCTGCAGCACCTTTGCCGGCCCCAAGATCGCCGACCTCTTCTACAAGTACCACAACTTCCGCTGGGCCTTCGGCACCTTCGCCATTCTCACCGTTGCCGTTGCCCTTCCTGTCGTCATCGTCATGCTTTGGGAGCAGCGCAAGGCTGAGAAGAGCGGCGTTCTCCCCAAGGTCGAGTCCAACCGCACCTTCTTCCAGTCCGTCAAGCACTACCTCATCGAGTTCGACGCTGTCGGTATCATTCTCGTCACCGCTGTCTTTGCTCTCATCCTGCTGCCGTTCAACATTGTTCCCTACGCCCCCAACGGCTGGAAGACTGGCTACATCATTGCCATGGAGGTCCTCGGTGTTCTGTGCACCCCCGGCTTCTACGTCTGGGAGATGTACTTTGCCCCCGTCAAGTTCCTCCCCTGGAAGTACCTGAAGGAGCCCACCATCATTGGCTCGTCCCTGCTGTACTGCGTCATGTTCATCTCCATCTTCTCCTGGAACACGTACTTCGGCTCGTACCTCCAGGTTGTCCACAGGCTCGACATCACCACGGCCAACTACGTTCTGAACGCCTTCTCGCTCGCATCCGCCATCTTCAGCCCTGTCTTCGGCTTGCTCATCCGTTACACCGGCAACTTCAAGTGGGTCGCATACACTGGTCTGCCCATGATGCTACTTGGCACTGCTCTCCTCATCCCCTTCCGCCAGCCTAGCACCTCTGTCGCCGTCCTTACCATCACCCAGGTTCTCTGCGGTCTTGGTACTGGTATGTTCGCGACGTGCGGCCAGATCGCTGTCATGGCCGTTGTCACCCACCAGGAGCTCGCCGTCGTCATTGCCATCTGGGGCATGTTCGGCGGTATCGGCTCTTCTATCGGTTTTGCCATTTCCGGCGCCATCTGGAACAACGAGCTGCCCGCCCAGCTCCTCAAGCGTCTGCCTGCCTCTGCCATTGACGACGCCGGTCTCATCTTTGGTGACATGGTTCTGCAAATGTCCTATGCCGATGGCACCCCCGAGCGTGACGCCATTGTTGACTCGTACGCCTATGTCCAGAGGCACATGGTCATTGCTGGTGCCGCTCTTGCTCCCCTCTGCCTGATTGCCATTTACCTGTGGAAGAATGTCAATGTCAACAAGCTCGAGAAGGAGCAGGGCAACCAGACCAAGGGCAACGTTTGGTAAATGGTGGTTGCTTGCTGTTTGGAGTTTTGGATATTATGGCTGTAGAGCGGTAAGGCTGGATATCATCCTTGTAGTCATGCCTACGAAGTCAATTTCGCGACTAGATCTTTGAGATGTAATCTGGTAGCTTTGACTGAAATGAATCAAGCGCCTTCGTTCACTCTTTCTTGGGTTGTGCCGTACATGGTCTGTACTTTTGGAACGCTCAGAACGTGACTGTCGAATTTTTCCGAGCTACCGCATGGTGATTAAGGAGAGTATGAAGTCGCCCCGGAGCGAACATGTCCGGACGCGGTGGTTGTGGCCAAATCAGTTGGCAGGGTCGACCAGTCTCGTGACGGCTGTCGAGGGCGTTTGGGCATCTGACCTGTCAGTTTGGGGTTCTGCCACTGGCGTGACGCTTCGATGCGCCGAATTGATCGCTGTCCGCTGGCATGAGGGAGCAGACGGTGTTCTTGAATGTCTTCGATTTTCTTCATCTAGTTTCAAGAGTCTGCAGGGCAAAGGCTTGAATATTTGGTATACAGAAGACATTGGTGCTTGACGTGGCGGCAGGCTTGGACTGGCCTGTTACGCTGTCAACTTCGAACCTCAAATCTGAGGTCACATATGTAGGGAGAATGATGATGGCGACTGCTACAGACATGGACATGTTTCTAATGCGCCTGCATCACCAAGAGAGCATATCGAGTCCAGTGGCACTGCGTGGGGTTGAGCAGAGTGAAGGGGCCTTCCGCACTAGATCCGGCGGCAGTACATAGGCAGGTGGTCGGAGCATATCTGCCCGCCCTCCGCGGCTTCAAGGGTCTTCGCAATTCTTGTTTATGCGCTTTCGTAGTCCTTAGCCCCTGACCAATTTCCTGTTCCATGGCTCCGCAGGCCTTCTGATGTTGAGAGTTGGACGAAGTTTCTGGCAGTGGCGTGGCGAGATGTGGGTGATGCAGCATTTAGCACAATGCTGCAGCTGTCCGATCCGTGACAAATCTTTCCAGGTAGGAGTGATTGTCCATCGAGTTCATGTACTGGGTTCCAAACTCATTGGAGAATCTTGAGCAGAGCTTGTGGTTATCTTGTATGTACTGTGACAGGTGGCCTGCTGAGCCACCAAGTAGGGGGTCGGTCAGGGGCAAAGGGTTACGAGAAACGTATATATCAAGACTGGGGAGGGCCCTCCAAGCTGTGGAGGGTCAGGTCTATGATGTATTCCGCCCCCCTACCTATATTGTATTGCCTGCCGACCACGTGTGGAAGACCTCTTCACTCTACTCTATACCACGCACTGACACACTGGTTTTGAAGATAAACTATGACCAAGCCTCCTTGAGGGCCTAAGAAATTCCACGGCGCGCGGAGACGGGACATTATCCAGTCGAGGTTCGGCTTATCTTTACAAGACCTTGAAGGCACCCTGTGTTGGATATCATTGCAAGCCCTAGTCGAAGCATAGAGTTGGTGATCTTCATCTGAGCCTCTATAGAAGGTTTGAGGATCGACTCGGTGGACATGTTATTCATCCTTTCTTGGAAGAATTGCTCACCGTATTTTTTTGATAGATGGTTGAGCACTCCAACCATTGAGATGAACGTAGTATACAATACTGGGAGTACCCTAACCCTGGCCCCATACTTTCTACACATCTCGGTCGACACGGTTGGATGAGCAAAGTAAAAGTCTTCGTCAGCAATGTCCGTTGTTGATCGTTAAATACCTCAAGGCTATGTACCGAGAGACGAGGCTGGGCATTGATGACTGGCTGACGATCCTGCCGTGTTCTATGCCGGGAACCCATCGACCAAGGCCCTGGGCTCAGGAGGATTCGCGATACATATGTACAACGCGAGGTAAGAGATCTCGGATACATGCCGGGTGCGCGAACGCTGGGCTACCCCCATTACCCTAGGGAAGCCAAGAAATCATCCAGAGTTCTGCTTAGGCTTCAGGCCTTTTGCCTAAATTACCTGAACGGCGTGGGGTTCTACGCGTTGATGGGAATTTATAGTCATTCAGGTTCGCAACCGTCATGGACCTCAGTGCAAGGGAACCGCACTGTATACTGCCCCGTATCTGAAGGTTCTGCCACCCCTGGTACCGATTGTCCTGACACCAGCAAACCTCCATCCCAGCACCTGTGGGGGGTCAACTGCCACGTATATGTGCCTTCGCAGTCTCAAACCCTCCCAAATTAGCTCTTGAGCCCCTACTCCATGGATCACATGTACCTATTGAAATCTCAACACCTTCGCTTCCGAATTTGATTCCTCAAATAAACTAAGCTATACTCGAGTACGCATTGCTTGATTCTTCAAAGAGGAGCACATGCACGCCCCAGTCTCACAATTTTTATGACGAGGCTCTTCTTGCCCGTCCTCACCCTTCCCGAGAAGCTCAGATACGAGTGCGGCAAGCAAGCAAACACAGCAAGCACGAAAATCACATTGTCCAAGATGTTACTCAATGTCAATTCGCTGTAAAGTAGAAAACGCCGTCCTAGATGCAGCCCCATTGCTGTGGATATCTCTTCAAAGGCGTTGAAACCCCCACCCGACTTCATGTTTTTGACCACGTGTCACGCTCGACCCTGCGAGCCATTACTCTCAAGACGACACCCAAACTCGTACAATCGGGCCTTAGATCATGAGACCGCCGATGAAGCCGGCGACGGCAACACCCATGGTGAGCATGCCCCAGCGGATCTCGCCGTGGGCCTCCATGCCGGCGCTGGGCGCGGAGGAGGAGCTCGGGCGAGCGGAGCCGGAGGCGGCGGAGGGGGCCGCGGTGGCGGCAGCGCCGAGGGAGCCGCCGCCGGTGGCGCTGGGGGCGACGTTGCTCTGCGCGTTGGCGGCAGCCTGGGCGTAGGCCTGGAGAGTCCTCTGGTTGTTGTTGGCACTGGTGTGCGTTAGAAGCCATTGCGCGGAGAGCAGACGGGGGAAGGGAAGAACATACGGAGCGTTGATGACGCCGACCATGCCGTTCTGGCAGTGCTGGCCGGTGGCACAGTAGTACCACTGGGGGTTGGTGTTCTCGACGGTGACGCTGAAGACCTGGTCGGAGACACCGCTCTGGACGCGGACGGGGCCGCTGAAGAAGCCGGTCGTGTTGAGAGGCTGGCAGGGCGAGTCGAAGCTCGACTGGGCGACCGAGTGGGCTTGGGGGTAGAAGTGGAACTCGACGACGTCGCCGACGGCGGCTGTCACCTCGGCGGGATCAAAGGTGAGGCCGCTCTCGCCAACCTTGACGACGTGGACGCCGGGGATGCTGGAGCCCGAGCCACCGCCGGCAGCCTGGGCGGCGGCGGGGGCGAGGAAGGGGAGAGCGAGGAGTACGGCGGCGTGCATTTTGGTTGATGTGTGTGGGTGTGTGAAGGTATTCAACTGTGGTGATAGTATGATGGTATAGTTTGATTGAGACGATTGATTGAGATGGTTGATTGGGCTGATGGGATGAGAGGGAGGGAAACAACTTTGGATGGCGGCACCCATCCCCTCTTTATGTATCCCATCTCGATAGCTCCGTGTCTGTTAGGTTTGGCCTGACTTGGGCATGGCGTGCCGGCCAAAGCCAAGTCAAAGGATGGTTGCGAGTCGCGACTCGAGCAGTATCAGACCCTGAAGCCATGGGCCAAAGCCAGAACCAGGGCGTCGTCGAAGCGCTGCGCACCCATGCTCGTCTTGGTCCTCAAACAGGGGTGCCGCACGAGGCGCGGGTCCCAAACAAGGCCAGGGGGGGATCGGATCAGGTAAGGCGGCGGATTTGACAGACCCAGATGGGCAGATGAACCTATCATGGCGAGGAGGGTCAGGCTTACGCATGCTGAGGTTCATTGTTGGCATCAGCGCTCAGGAGGTGGCCAGGCGGCTTGTCAAGGGGTCATGCTGTGTCAAGTGTGTCTGTGAAGGTGTCGAGCCTTTCTCTGGGGTTGCGTCCGCAGGCGGAGGAGGGGTCATCGGGGTGGGTCGGGACGACCAGTTCGAGCTGATGATTGGTCAAGGCAGCCGGCAGTAACAAAGTCTAAAACATCCCAAGATCCAGGTTCGCCTGGGTCGTCTGAAGGGCAGCTGCGGCCAATGGCTGCCTTCCATACCAAGGGGGAAGCTTCCCCGAACGGCAACCGGCACGGCTCCAGCGCTGGCAGCACCTGCAGCAGCTTCCCAATACCTGCCGAGCACCTGCAGCACCTCCCATACCTTCCCAGCACCTCCCCAGCACCTGCAGCAGCTTCCCAACACGCTCACAAGGAGGTGCTGGGGATGCCTTCCCAGCACCTCCCAGCACTCCCAGCACCTTCCCGGAACCTCCCAACACAGCCTCGACGCTAACCCCCAGCAGCAACAGAGCAAGAACCACGAGCACTTGCGGGGGAACTGAACCTTCCCCCTTCCCCCTTCCCTGACTAGCCAGTCGTTCAGCACCCAGGAACACGGCCCAAGGGTGAACAATCTCTCCGGTGCTGTGGGTTTTCTTCATGACGTCCAAGCTCAGTCACGATGCCAAAGCAATAGTCATCGGCCTTGGCTCTCTTTGGCCTCCCTGCTGCGCCTGCTCGACCTCAATTGCCCGACCCTCATAACCCAGATCATTCCTCAACACCAGCAATCTCGCCCGTCACCTGCCCAGATCGGCCTCTCTCACGATGCCGCCAACGCTGTCCCTGACTCGGCCAACCACCAGTCCATCCCAGAGCGACCTGCTCCCCAGCCTGTCTCGGCGGCCTCCCGCCCCCTACCTCTAGGCACCTACCTAAGGTACCTGGAAAAAGGCTGTTTCTCATCTCACCGCAGATGGTCTGATCTTGTTGTGTCGTTCGCGCCAATGCATGCACATGCAACCCGCCCCGACTCCGCCTCAATTCTTGACCTCCCGGCAGCTAAACTTTCCGGTGCCACATGGGAATGCCGTTACGCGGCCAAGCTTTCCCAACAGCTCGCCTGCTTCCTCCTTGGTGAGGACGCCGGACCCGTCACAGCATTTTGCTCCCGGCTCTTTGTCCAGCAAGGGAGGCTGCTGACATATCCCCACGTCCTTTTTCGCAATAAGGTTCAGCGTCGTGAGTCGTCATCGCAAACGGGCATGCCGCTCTCGTCGTTCGTCCTGCATGGTACAAGCTCCTCCGATGAGGTTGCGTCAGCTCGCGTCTTGTTATCTCCGAAGCTGAGATGATGCTGGCGCCCTCTGTTCTGCACGTCTCTCCCTGCTCTCTCCTGATGCTGAGGATCAGGCCTCGGCTCCTGACTCTCGGTTGCTGCCGAAACGATCACCGATTGATGTGTGATCCTTGGGCAATCTTCATGGCCACTTTGTTTACAACAACAGCAACAACAACAAATTCCAGCACGCTTCTGGCGCCAGCCAAGACGATCTACATGCACACATCCTCTGGCCTTCCGCCGTCTGCTCTGACAGATCCACACGGGAACTATGTTTCTCGCGAAAGAGAAGAGGAGAAGGAAACGAAAACTCCTGTTTGATGTGCTGATGCTCAAACCAGAGGCTGCTGCCTCGGAGATCCTTTGCATGCTGACCCGGCATGATATCCGTAGATCAAGCGGGTTCGGGAGCGTCGGGTGCCTAGACCCGTCCAATGTCGAACCTCGTCGTCCCGCAAGCATCTCGGGCGCCTCGGCTACATCGTTCCTCGCGTCTCCGAAGTCTGTATATCGATCCGGCCAGACGGACTGAACCGGACTGAAGTTAAATCACATACTGGGATCGCTCTCGAAGTGGGCGAGAACCAGCGCTGGATTTTCAGGGGTGAAAACTCCCTGGCAGGTCCAGGGCCGACTGTTTGCTTTCCTTGCCACGTGCACACGCAGAGTGCCTTTTGGCCACCAGGCACCGCTGCGACGTAGTCCAGGTATATGGCCACAACGGCTTTCAACTTTGTTTTCCGCCCGACGGTCATTCCTTCAGATGAGTAGGCAGATTCGACGCAGAAGGTTTCACGAACAACTAGCACACTTCAATATATTACAACTTCAAGATGGGTGTGCAAGGAAGCGCTCGAACAGGAACGTCCATTCAATGTGGATCATATCGACACAATATCTTTCAGGTCACTGATCGTTGCTTCCGTGATTTGTGAGTTCAGCCTAGATGATAACCCCGCTCCACCTACAACGCGACTGGGCTGGCTGTTGCCCGCGGATGCCGGTGCGATACTTTCCCCTACCGGTGACTTCGACGCGCAAGACTTCCCAGTAGGGTCGAAGACGTGATAGCAAAATACTGCTCTGCCGCCGCTTCAGCTGGGACGGGCTTCGCGTCGCCAGAGTTTTCCACTATTCAATGGACAGCTGCGCTCGTGTTCACGTCGCCGGTGAACTTTCCTGATAGAGTGGCGAGCATCTATCATCGGCAGCAGGAATATCCACCCCGCCTGATCGACCTGTCCACCTCTTCTCCTATTACAACGCTGAGACTTTGAAGTCTTTCTGCATCCAATGCCGCTGACTTCAAGTTTATTCACTGCTCCATCGCCAAGCATCAGGCACGGGCTCTTCCGCTGCCAGCATGATGCCCTGCGTAGGTTTCACATTCTTCCTGTCTGGTTGCATCACCTGTGGGACTGACGGCCCTGCCAGACTGGAGCCGAAAACTGAGCCAATGATTGGACCGATTTCTCTCCATCATCACTCCGTGGGATATATCTACGTGCCAGTCCCTGTAGAAAATGGAATGACGAGTTCTAGACTTCGTTATTCCGTGGTAGTCTTGATCACATAGGCGCAGGCCTTTGTCAACGATGCAGCTGCCGTGTAGAACCCTTTCTTCCAACAGCATGTCAGTTCTGGGCAGAATGAAACAACTGCGTGCCAGACGAAGACTCAATTTCAACTTGGCTCCCCTGCAGTAGAATGCTGGCTCTCCTGTAGTAAACACTGACAAGAGGTTGTGCGGCTACATGTCGATGAACGTTGGCCAACATTGCGACAGTGGAGCAGACCAGACTTGGCGAGGGACTGCCGACTTGCTAACCCAAACCCTTACCTGGGTAAAGCCGTCAAACACCAAATCAACACTTCTTCCGCATGGCCCCTTACAGGCTGGTCTTCTGTTCTGCCCCTTTTCGGGTGTTTGATCTGTGTCTGGAGCTCGAGGGTAGGGAACGATTTATTCGAAGACTGATCGGGTGCGCGGCTGGATCGCGAGTAGGATCTCTGAATCGTCTTTGACGTGTATTGCTTCGATGTCTTTGAAACCACATGGGCCGAATATTCGACATGAAGTCTGTGCATGTTCGAGACATTTGACCTTGACTGTATTCAGCAACATGGTCTTCTATCCGGGCTTTCGGCTACAGACTTCTGACGACAGCTTACGATCAGTGACTTTGCCTGAACGAAAATAAGCGGATCAGGAATCAATGGCAATGCTATTCCCGGGATGCAACAACTAACATCATGTCGACAGTCAACTGAAGCTCCCCAGCGTCAGGTCTTAACTTTTGGTTTTCCGCACAGAGAAAGCCAAGACTAATGATCGAGCAAGGATGAGAGAAGCAAGATGAGAAATGTTCAAACCAGAAGCAACATGAGGCCCATCACACACGACAATTCGCTGCATTCTTGATTCTTGGCAGTGCTGTGAGATTCGGCCGTAAAGACGACGGCGCCAGTGAACATGGATCATCGGTCCTGATCACATTTCGGACATCCTAGCATTTGCAACGCCGTCAAGAACACCTAAGCTTCTAAGGCCCTGCAAGCCAGCGTGAACAAGTCGAAGACGGAGTGGCACCACTTCAATGAACCAGATGTATTCTCATTATGAAATAGACCGCCAACGGCAAGCGGCAAGCCACAAGGCGTCCGCATGACAGAACCCAGAAACACGCTCAACATCCAGCGCAGAACTCCATCAGCAGGGGCAGGGGAAGACGCAGAAGTTGCAGGGAATCGGGCACGGGATGATAAAGCAGAACCGTCCCGGACACGCCTCGCCGCCGCGCAGCGTAAGCTCGGACTCGTCAGCGGAGCGGTCGTCCTGCGATGCCTGGGGCTCTTGGGCGTCTGGGCGCGCCATGTTAGTTGAGATGCAAACTGGGCGCTGCTGGCATCGCGCGCGGCGACGGAATGGAGAGCTCACTCATGGCCATGGCGTCTTGCGACTTGGGCTGCTCGGTGTGCACTGGCGCCGGGGCGCGGGGCATGCTTGATTGGTCGGACATGTTAGAAAGAGGAGGTTGACAAGAGTGAATGTTCGTGGTGATGAGAGGTGCGATGATGCGATGTCGTGGTTCAGGAGAATGAGATGTTGATGAGCTTGGCAGGATGATGGAAGGCTGGGGCTGAAGGAGGTCGTTGGCTGATGGCTGTGCTGGCTGAGCTCCGCCTCACTGCGACGTCATCGATGGCTGGGGCTGTACTGGCTTCACCCCGGCTCACCGAAAACGTTGGGCTGAACACCATGACACTCGAGTCCTAGAATTCCCTGACATACTATAGCCCGCAGCTCAAAACGAACCCTATGGTGACCCCGAAAGCTCTCCATCAACGTAGATCTTGACCTTTTCATTGTAGAAACAGATCATGCCGGCGATCGCCGCGCATTCAACGGTCGGATGCCGATAATACCAGACTACGTCTTCCAAGGTTGTTGCATGATCGATTCGGACATTATAGTAGCTTGCGATGCCTTTATACGGGCACTCGGTCACCGTGTCTGATTTCAACAGCTGCGCAGACCCCTGGACCACGGCCGTGTAGGGGATGTAGTAGCGCGTTGGGAGGCGGCTCTCCAGGAGGTGGACCGAGTAGGGAGACTCGGCGAGAAGTCGACCGTCGTACTCGATACGAACCTTGCGTCCGGAATGGAGGAGCTCGACACGCAGGTCGGGGTTCTTGGGATGAACATAGATCGGCGTGTCTTCCTCGAGCCACTGATCTGTCTCGCGAACGGGTCGCGTCAGCTGGGTTAGGTTAAATACCTGGCTCACGGGCGGCCGAGGCGGCAGAAGGGCAGAATGGAAAACAGAGTGCACCCACCCATGCTCCCAAACTCGAAACGAACAAGATTCTGCAGTGGCCCACGGTCGTGGCTCATTCTGAGCCTCATTACGTTCTTAAAGGGGAGCCCAAAGCCAGGGCGGTTCTCGCGGAGCAAGTCTACGCCTTGCACTTCCATGACATTGAAGCTGGATACTTGCCCCGTGGCAACGCCATCTGAGGCGACGACGGGACCGACATCGGATGATTGAATGTTCATCAAGTCCTCTTCAGGGATGTAGTATTGCGGATACGCCGCGTGTTCCCACGCGAGCAACCCTCTCCTCGAGTCGGCAATGGTGTTTCCATGATGTACGACACGGATGCGACGGGTTGCCGGTTCCGTGCGCAGGAAACCGTGCACGAGGAGATAGAGCCCGAGTTGGTGCAAGCTGCAGATGTCAGTCGAACAGTTCGCGGTGCAGGCTTCAACGACAATGCTCACTCGCAGCCCTGGGCTCCAATCTTGACCGTATCCGTTTTCAGTGGGGTGATAGGTCCCGACATTGAATGCCCTCCTCGAAACAGACTATGCGAAGAACAACAAGAAAGGGGTACAATGCTCCGCTGGATGCAGCCTACAAAGACGGTAATGGAGTAGTTGACATCCCAAGCAATCTTTCTGTTCATGGCCAATCGCGCCAAGAACCTCGAATTGGCGATGGGAGGTCAGGTGATGGGGGACGTGCATAACTTACCTACTGATTGAGCGCGCCTTTCCAAGATACACCCATCAATCACTGGGACTTGATGGTGACACAAATATTGCCGCCATGACTGATTCCCGACATGGTTTATTCCAAGCTCACCGGACTGTATCGTGGATTGGTTCACGACGATACGCCCGAAGTGCCTAGTCTGCCTCACGAGCAGCCTCACACACCTGAGTCACTCGGCGGCGACGACGTACAACAGGAGGCATCCAAGTACCAGCTCACTTGAGGAGTCTACAAAAGCTTCACGCTCCAACAGGCCACAATCATGTCGCGCCACATCCTCCTCTCCATACCAAAACCCCCCATCAGGATCCCTACCAAGCTACATTTCGCAAACATGACAACCAGACTCCCCCCCGTCCAGGCGCCCCAAGCCTCGCCATCCCCACCACTGCCCCTCCCCTCGACGCCCGTCTACTTCTGGCGCGAGACAGACCCAGACTCGGGCTTCCTCTCCCAATGGGCCCCCTCCCCCTTCCCGCACCCCGCGAACCCGTCCCTCGTCTTCCGCACCGCAGAGCACTACATGATGTACCGTAAGGCCGCCCTCTTCGACCCCGCCCAGGAAGCCGCCATCCTCGCCGCGCCGCACCCGCGCCAGGCCAAGGCCCTCGGGCGCCAGGTCCAGAACTTTGACGCCGCGACGTGGGAGGCGCGGCGCGAGGCCATCGTGACCGAGGGCACGAGGCTCAAGTTCACGACGGGCGCCGGGGCCGCGGAGCGGAGACGTCGGCTGCTGGCTACGGGCGTGGGAGAGCTGGTTGAGGCGAGCCCGTTTGATCCCGTCTGGGGTGTCGGGTTTGCGCCGCATGTTGCGCCGACGGTCGATCGGGAGGCGTGGGGGCTGAATCTGCTGGGCAAGGCGTTGATGGTTGTGAGGGATGAGTTGAGGGCGGCGGAGGGGCGGGCGGGCGGACTGGCGAGGGATGGAGGGCGGGATGCTGTGGAGGGGACGTCTGTGAACTAGGTAGCAGTACGAACTGTAGAGATCGGGATGTTGTTGAACATTGTATCAAAATTCGAACCCAAGCGACTTCGTCTCAGGCAAGCACAGGAATATCAGATTCAGGGTTGGCTCAAAGGGTCGTTCCACCGAATGACCTGGACTGGTCGCACTGACTTGACATTGTGAACAATGTGCTGCGACCCAGAACGTCAAACGGACGTCCGGCCTCTTGATTAAACAAACTGCTCGGCAGACGGCAGAGCCCTTGCCAGGTGCCTAGCAGGCTCTTCGATATTCGTACAAGATAGCCTCCTCGAGGCGAGAGCGGTGTTGGTTCTCCCCGGCCGCAGACCGCAGGCGGCAAGACTCCGCAGAATTTGGTCTTCTGTCTGTTTTCTTTCTCCTCCTCTGCATCCTCCCAGAAATCGCCTAGAATCCCCCCTCCAAAATGCCCCCGGTCTAGTTTTTTGTACATTATTGAAACATCAGAATGACAGAAAGTGTCACATCCAATCGCCAGCGTATGAGAGTGTTGGTGTTCGAGCCGATCCGAAAGAAAACAGAGCCGGCTCGGCGTCGATGATGGTGGTTATACCACTTAGTAGTAGTCGCGTCCGCTCTTCTGCATCTCAATGAGCCTCCATCCCCTCGTCTCCGGGTTGCTGACATCGTCCGGCAGCCTTGTGATGCCGATGGCGTACGTCACCAGCTGCACCTTGTCCTCCATGCCGGCCGCAAGCTCGTTGGTCTTGGCGTTGCGGTAGACGTGTACCTCCTGGGTGCGGCAGGTGATGACAAACACGGGAATGTCGCCGGGCTCGAGCATGCGTGCCTTGGCGATATCGACGTGGCGGATATCGAGGATGCGGCCGTCCGACTTCATGCCAGCCTTGAGGTACTGCTTTGTGAGAGCATCGTAGACGGAGTACTGCGCCTCCGAGAGCCACAGCTTCAGGGTGGGGACGTCACCCTTGACGTAGGCGTCGAGGACCTCGGGAAGAATGTATTCGCGCAGCTCGGTGAGGAAGGGCTCCATCTTGAAGTTGGGGTCCATCTCGCGGAACTTCTTGATGACCTGAGCCTGCTCGTTCTCGGCGAACCAACCGCCGATGGTGTCGGTGATGCTTCGTGCCGTCGAGATGAGGGGGTTCTCGGACTCCTGGTAGACTTTGCCGGCGCTGAAGAAGCCCTGGACAACCTTGTTCTGGTCGCGGAAGTCTCTCCACGCCTCCTTCCAGGCAGCATCCTTGTGGAGCGTGACGTTTGTGCCAGCCCTGTGACTGGAGTCAGCGAAATTTACGAGTTAGAAATGAGGAGGATGCCAGCGTACTCAGGGTCCTCAACAAAGTTCTCCGGCTTGTCGCCCCTGAGAGCCCTCTCAGCCTCACGCTTTTGCCTGCGCTCCTCCTTCTCTACCCAGCCGCCGTAACGCGAAGAGCTGCCGTCATCAATGACATCCTTGACGTTCTTGTAGGCCTCGGTCTCACGGATGGGCTTGGTCGCCTTGTCGAGGGCATCGCCGGTGACGTTGGCGACCTTGCGAACACCCTTGACGGCGCTCGTGTCCCAGGTCCACGCAGCACCCTTGCCAATGGCGCCGGCCGTCGTCTTGACAACGGTCGACGTCGTCTTGCCGATGGCGCCCGTGGTGGTCTGGTAGGCCTCGCGGGCCTTGCGCACGCGCTCGCTCTCCTGGAAGGTCTGGATCTCGCCGGAGAGGGCCTTGGTCGACTCGTTCCACTCCTTGGACTTCTTGAGCTCTGTGTTCATCGTCTCCATGAAGACCTGCCACGGCGTCATGTCACCGTGGGGCGGAGGCGGAGGGGCGTCGTCCTTCTTCTTCTCCTCCTGCTTGCCATCGCCCTCTTCGCCCTCCTTCTTCTTGTCGCCTGATGAGGCGCCCTCCTTGTCCGCTGACTCGGAGGACTTGGCGCTCTCCTCCTCGGCGGCCTTGGAAGCTTCCTCGGCAGGCTTCGTCTCAGCCTGGGGCTTCTCTTGTTTTTGCCATGTCGGCGTCGCTACATGAAAGGAGCGGGCTGGTGTGGCAGAGATGAGGGGTCGGATCTCATGGGGAAGGAAGGATGATCGAAGCGTGGTAGGGCGAAGAGAGGAAGAAGAGAGCTGTTGAGAGGAGGATTGTTGGATGCGGATGGAGGCGAGGCTGTCGGTGGACTGGAGACGATATGTCTGGGTCCTGCCCGTCGCAGGGGCGCTGCTACGAGCAGATGCTCTCGTCAGAGCATTAGGCGCGACACTCCGTGAAGACCGGACAAAAGAGTTCATGATGAAGTAAAAGCGTTCCGCCGCCCAGATATGGGTGTTTGCGATGCGCAGGATGGGGGGGGGGGGAGAGACGACTCGGTCGGGGACGGAGAGGCAAGTACCTTAGGCCGGGTGAAATTTGGCCGGATCAAAATTTGGGGCGCGACGAGGATTTCTGCGATCTCGGCTCCAGGCGGGCCGCGGCGCGGGCAGGGGGTCGAAGGTCGTGGAAGGGGATCCTGAAAGGAGTACCTGGGTACTGTTGCTATTTAGCCGTGCTTCAGCCGGCTGAGGCCAGGACCACCAGCAACAGGACGTGGGCCAATCGGGACATGGCGTGTCAGGAAGCTGTTCGAAAAAATCCAGGTCACCCGAGCAGGAGGCCCCAAGCAGTATCGACGACTGGCTCTCCTTGACGCCAACAACGATCCGAACATCGACACATATTGGCGGCAGTGCAGCATCGTCTGTCGACCACATCCGTAACAAAATATGAGCGGCCCTTTAGCAAGCCGCTTCCTCGCGAGGACGGCGTTTCAATCCATCGCCCGTCCCACCTCCCTAACGCGATGCTCTCCCTCTCTCTGCCGGCCTCTCTCCCAAACCCCCAGCCGACGCGCCGATGACGCTCCCACGACAAGAGCCGGCTCCGACCTCCTCTCCTCTCTCTACGGCGCGCCCAACCCCCCCGCCGCGAAGCCCTCAGCCCCCGCGGCATCATCCGCATCCGCCGTGGGCCCGACCGACTCGAGCATGATGAACCTCTTCCGCAGCACGCTCGGCAAGGACGAGCAAAAGCGCACGCCCGGCGGCCTCGGCAGCGGCAAGGAGGGCTTCGGCGAGATCAAGGAAGAGGCCCTCGACGCCCTCGAACCCTTCCACCTGCACATTTACTCGCACAAGCACAACACGCACGTCACCATGTCCAAGCCCGACCGCGGCGCCATCGTCTCCATGTCGTGCGGCAACATTGGCTTCAAGAAGTCGAGGCGGAAACACTTTGACGCCGCCTACCAGCTGACGGCCTACGTCTTGGAGAGGTTACGCTTCGCCGGCTGGGACAAGAAGATCAACCGCATCGAGCTCGTGCTGCGCGGCTTCGGACAGGGCCGTGATGCCGGCGTCAAGTGCCTCATGAGCCCCGAGGGCGCCATGTGGAGGCAGAAGGTCGTGCGCGTGGCCGATTCGACGAGGCTCAAGTTTGGTGGCAGCAGGAGCAAGAACCCCAGGCGTCTGTAAAAGAAAACCATTGGTCACGTGTTGCAGCAGCATGGTAGAAACGCGGGTGCAGGGCGACGGATGGTCGGGAACGGATGGACAATCAAATGTACAATACGTGTACAGCTGTACCATATACCAAAGAATTCAAAGAGCTGTTTAGGGTGTCCTGGTCCCCCGTTTCGCTCCTCCCGCGCAACGCCGAAAAGGAGAAAAAAAAAACAGAACGCCAGCCTGATCTCGCCCCATTTGGTATCAAGGACCCGGAACGCCATTCACCTTGTATCCCCCCCAAAGTAGAAATCTCGTGCCCATTAAACATGATGTTATGGCCTCGGCGCCCTCTCTGATGCCGGCAATGTCCGGCCGGCTTGATCTCGTTCGACTTGCTTCCCCTTGCCGCTGCCTCCGTGCCGTCTGTCGTCTTCGCTCCCCCATCCCGACTCTTGTTCCTCCTGGGGGCGTGGTTCGCCGTGGAACCTGGGCGGAGACTGCTTGAGCATACGAGACCCTTCGTGGGTCCCGTCATCCTCATCGTCGTCCTCGTCCAGGAGCTCGCCGTCGACCATGTCGTACTCGGGCGGGTCGATCCACTCCCTCGGCACGACACAGGGCAGCGCAACGCCAATGCTGGCCGCGCGATTGAGCCAGCCCGGCCCGCTCTGCCCCGTCAGCTTCAGGCAGAGCTCCGACGTGAAGTGGTTGCAGTTGCGCGTGAGGAGGTTGTACGAGGTGCCCTGGAACTCCTTGGACACGTCGTCGAGGATCTTCTCAATCTCCTCCTCGGTCATAAAGGTGAAGCCGTGCAGGATCTCGCACTTGAAGGTGCCGCCGGGGGGCTCGGTCTTGGGGCTCGTCCAGTAGACGCCGGTCATGCCGCGGCGGTCGTGGCCGCCGTAGGCGTATTCGCGGCCGTTGATGACGACGCCCGAGTGCAGGAGGGATGCGCCTACGGACCACAGGACGGTGGATAACCTCCCGGGCTGCACCTGTCAGTGCCTTATATGGTGTGGAGGTGCAGGCGGAGCAGAGGGTGGCGCCATCGGGCTTACCGGCAGCAGGTCATAGACATGAATGGTGACCTCGGTCTTGGTGAGGGACAGGGTTGATCGATGGCGATTCGTGGATTGTCTTGCCGAGTTGGAGCGTTGCGGGCGAGTCGGAGGCATCTTGGGGGGGTTCACAGTGGGTGTGGGATGCAAGGAGGAACTGGCGATGCTGTTTCCTTGAAGGTTTGGGTGACGGCCAACTAGGTTCCTAGGTAAGGTAAGGTAGGTAGGTGGAAGAGGGCGAAACGAGCGGGGCAATGGAGCAGGATCAGGTACAAAGGAGGGAACGGGATGAGCGTTGCCAAATAGACAAAAGCTATGTACAACGGCTTTGGGTGAAGCCGGAACGTAGGGAAAGGGTCGGCTGATCTGGATGCGGAACCTAAGGTGATGTAGGGTTAGGTATTGTAGGTTGTTTGCGACGTCAAGGCTTGGATGCTGTCAGATGGCTCAGATGCGATGCGATGCGACCTTGTGACATGGGTCAGCAAGCTCAAGCTGGGAAGCTGGACGCAGTCGCGGCCAGTGACGACAACGGGGACGCGGGGTGACCAGGCTGCATCCGGGGGCGGCATGGCACTGGAGCTCTCTGAAGCCCACTGGAGCTGGCTGCAGCGGAGCTGGTGACTTGCTTCCATGCCGCCGGGGAACACGTTCCTCCAGGCGCCGGAGGGGCTTCCTCAGGGGAGGAGCTTCCTCAGGCAAAGGCCGGCTTACCTCATCAGAGCAGCTGCAGCAGCGCCCAGGGTAGAGCTGCACACTTTGGTGGGGCACCGCTGGAAAATCCCAGGTCAAGATTCGCGCCCTCTGCCACAAAAATTCTTTCCTCTGCCTTTTTTCCCTCATCCTGCCCATCACTGCAACCAGGCTTCTCCCCAGCCCAGATACCCAATCCCCTCTCCCCCCCTCCTTGGGTAAAAGGTACCCTACGCGGCCCGCCAACTGGGGGAACGGTTTGCGGCTGGTCACACCAGCCAGCCAATCCTTCACCACGACGTCCCTCCTCGCGCCCTCCCTTCCCTTCGCTTCTTTTTTCCCCCCTTTACACCCACGCGCAGCTAGCTCTGCTTTTCGTTACTGTACCGGCAACAGTTTCAGTCACCCCTCACCTTTAGTGGTTGCACTGTTTTGTATACCCCCTCCCGTTCCTACGCAAAGAAACGAGGATCCAAGATGCCTCCCAAGAAGCAGGTTGAGGAGAAGAAGATTCCCCTCGGCCGTCCTGGCAACAGTCTGAAGAGTGGGATTGTATGTTGTCCCCCATCACCCACTCACCACCCTGCCGCCGGCCGTCTGAAGCGAACCCCGCGCCTCCCACCAATTTTTTTCTTGTTTTTACCCATTTCCCTTTTTTACCCCTCCAAGCTTCGAGGCTGACCCCGCGATCCTCACAGGTCGGCCTTGCCAACGTCGGCAAATCCACCCTCTTCCAGGCCATCACCAAGTGCAACCTCGGCAACCCTGCTGTAAGTTCTCTCTGCTGTACCCGTCGCCCCGTGGACCTCCCGGCTCATTGATTGACCAAGGTGTAGAACTTCCCCTACGCCACCATCGACCCCGAGGAGGCCCGCGTCATCGTCCCCGATGCGCGCTACGACTGGCTGTGCGAAAAGTACAACCCCAAGTCTCGTGTCCCCGCCAACTTGACCGTCTATGACATTGCCGGTCTGACCCGCGGTGCCTCGACCGGTGCTGGTCTCGGCAACGCCTTCCTGTCCCACATTCGTGCCGTCGATGCCATCTTCCAGGTGGTGCGCTCCTTCGACGATGCTGAGATTATTCACGTCGAGGGTGACGTCAACCCCACGCGTGATCTGGACATCATCAGCGAGGAGCTCCGATTGAAAGATATCGAGTTCGTCGAGAAGGCCCTCGAGGCCCAGAAGAAGAAGACTCGCTCTGGCGGCCAGAGTCTCGAGATGAAGAAGATGATTGCCGAGCAGGACACCATCCAGAAGATCATCGACTGGCTGAAGGACGGCAAGGATGTCCGAAAGGGCAACTGGTCCCCCAAGGAGGTAAGCCGCAGACCTTTTTTTTTTTTCTTTTCCTCCCTCGCAAACAAGCCATCCCCTGGCGACTCGCATGATGATAAAGGACCCGAGGTCCGACTTATAACCCAGCTCGTCGAATGCCTCACAATAAACGCAGAGTGCATACTGAGATAAAAAATCATACTGACTTTCGAGTCGCAACACCTCTCATGATATTGCTTCACCAATCTTGTGGAAATCATCACTGACAAGAAGCTCTCTCAGGTCGAGGTCATCAACCCTCTCTTCCTCCTGACGGCCAAGCCTGTCGTCTACCTCGTCAACCTCTCCGAGCGTGACTACGTCCGCAAGAAGAACAAGCATCTCCCCAAGATCGCCGAGTGGATCAAGGAGAACGCCGCTGGCGACCCCATCATCCCCATCTCCGTTGCCTACGAGGAGCGCCTCAGCCGCTTCGAGACCGAGGAGGAGTCCCTCGAGGAGCAGAAGAAGGTCGGCGCCGACTCGGCCCTTCCCAAGCTCGTCATCCAGATGCGCAAGTCTCTCGACCTCGGCAGCTTCTTCACGACCGGCACGGACGAGGTCAGGCAATGGACCCTGCGCAACGGCACCAAGGCCCCTGGCGCCGCCGGTGTCATTCACACCGACTTTGAGAAGACGTTCATCCAGGCCCTCGTCTACAACTTCTCCGTGCTGAAGGAGCTCGGAGACGAGTCCGAGGTCAAGGCCAAGGGCAAGGTCATGACCAAGGGCAAGGATTACGTCGTTGAGGATGGTGACATTTTGCTTATCAAGGCCGGCGCCGCCAAGGCGTAGACGTTTTCATGACGAACATGAGACGCCAAAGTCGATTGAATGAAATTGATGAAGACTATAACTCGTCTCTTGGTGAATGTGATTGTCCGTGTTTTGACTGGTGCGTGAACCGAAGCAGTTTGAGGCCCTCGAATAAAATACTCCAATAACGGCTGACGAGGTGTCTTCCATCCCAGACATGCGCCACACGTGAAGCATCAGGTTTCATGCGCGGGGCAGCATCAGAACCCAGGCCCGCCATCCTCCCACGGCTTCCCAACATACCGAGACGTCTCCCCGACACACGTATCCCGCAGCGCAGCCTTGGCCTCATCACTGTCCGCCGCATAACACGGCAGATCCCCCGTGTCGCCCGTCACGCCATCGCAAACGGCAACCGCAGGCCCGCCGCACGGCGACCGCACGGCAAAGTTGCGGAAGCGGATATTGTCGCACACGGCGTCGGGGCTCGCCGAGCACGTCAGCTTGGCGACGGCACGGCCGCGGTTCCCGCGCGTCGAGCCCGTAAAGTTCTCAAACAGGACGTTGGTGATGGACATGCCGGCCGGGTATGCCTCGCACGTCTCGGCGTTGATCTGGCTCCTGTCAGATGGGTAGGGGGGGCTTCCAGAAGGATTCCGCGCCCAGGGGCGGGAGACTGGTGAGACCTACATTCCAGTAGCAGGAGTCGAGGAATGCGACCCATTCGTTGTTGGCGTTCCAGAAGTTCCTCGCCAGTCAGTCCTGGGCGTGTCTTGTGATAGAGACGCAGGGGACGCACCGGAAAGTGACGTTGTTGACGTAGCCGTGGCCGGCGGTCGGGCCGGCCCAGACCTTGATGCGGCTGCCGTGCTGTGGGAGGCGTCAGTGGGAGGCGGTCGCGGATGATTTTTTTTTTTTTCATTTTCTGGTTGGAAAAAGGGGCTGACGCACGCCGCCGTTGAGCATCCAGACATTCTCGATCACGACGTCTTCGACGAAGGACATGACGCCCCTGTGTTCTCCCAGGGAACCGAGGGACTGTTATCGTGAGTGGCCTGGGTTCAATCGAGAGGTAGGCGTTGACGTACCTGGCCGTGTGTGCCGTTGCAGTACATGTGGTTGACGTGAATGTTGGTGCCGTTTGATTTTGGCGAGAAACAGTCGTCGCCGACGTCGACCCAGACGCGCTCAATCGACACGTCCCTGACGTTGAGGGAGTTGAAAAAGCCCGTGTTCGCAGGCCGAACGGTCTGGTCTCGGGGCCGAGCAGTGCAGGCGACATCGCGGTAGGATATGCCCTCGGCTGCGGCAGCCAAGTCAGTAACAATTCTCTCCCTCACGGGTATCACTTGATGGAAATACTGCGTTCGATGAGCTGGTGCCAGATCGGCCCGTCTTTGAATCGGATCCCCTCAATCTGCACATTGGCGGCGTCTCCAACATAAAAGAGGGAATGGGCCGGGCGTAGGTGTAATTGTTGTCCGCGGGGAGGTCAAGCTCGCCGAACTCACGCCACCAACGCTCGCCGTTGCCGTCGATGACGCCGTCGCCGTAGATTTTGAAGTTCTTTCCGCCCCATTTCCCTAATTGTGGTTAATGTAGATGGCCGCGTGATGCCTTGAGTCGTACTCACAGTACAGGAGATTTGTCTGGAAGGGGTGCTTGAAAGCCGTAGCTTGCCATTGAGGAACGTCGTCGGTAAACTTGACATGTGCTCAGTCCAAGATCAAGTAAACCAAAAGACCAGGAGAGCCCACCAAGATCTTGCCGTCCAGACGAACGTGGATGTCGTTGAGGAAGGCCAGGTCCAGTGGCTTGCCGATGACGAAGAGCTCGTCTTTGGGCAGGTGAAGCAGTCCGCCGTTGTTGGCCTGTCTGATTCCCTCTAGGAAATCATCCGAAATGTCGTCGGTATCATGCTCAGATGAGCGTATCCTGGTCACTTTGCGACAATCACCTTTGGTACTCCGTGCTCGGTAGGGATGCTTTTCTCGGAATTCCTCGAGAGATCGAGGCACACCGGCTGGGAGCTCTGTGGCAAGGAATGCATTACTGAAAAAGGCAAGCAGTGATACAGCAATGGATGAAAGATGCATGATGGAAGTGTCACGAAACGCAACTTCGTGTCTGTCAGTAACTTCAACACCTCCTTGCGAGGCCTCTTGGTGTACTAGCTTGCTATTTATACCGAGTTCACATTTCAGATGCGGAGGACTGTCGTGCATTGCTGATCTATCTACGTTGGGAGAGATGCAGCATACTCCGTGAGGTCTAGAGAAACCAGTTTAGAACTCCTTACGTGGACCAGCGGTCTAGTCTGTGGGTAGGAGAGAACATGGTACAAGCATCAAGAAGGGCCAGTGGCCAGGACATCATGCAAGTGCTCCTGTGTCTGATCCATCGTGTTTGGTTTAGCATCACATCAAGTCTTTTCTCTCCCAATTCAAGAGCACTCCCAACTGCCAAGACCAGTATGCCGATGTAACCGCAAGACGCACATGGGGGCCATTGGTGGACTAGAAAACAGCGAGAACCCCCGCCGGATGGTCCTGAAGGATCGCCCTTGCACAAGGCGGCCCGGAAATACAAGATCAGGTAGTATCGGCGTGCCAGGTTTAAGAGGAGTCTTCTCGGCGCTCCAGCCTGGACTTTGCGGGGTACACGGTCGGTGCGCGTTGACTTGAGACCGACGATGAAAGTCTTGAACGATCCTTCGTTTCCACCGCAACGAAGTTCAAGCACGGCCAGATGGCTTTTTGCCTACTATCGTATTGCTGTCTCTTCTCTCTGTTGGCCCCCTCTGACTGACACGGCCAGACAGCCTACTTTGAGCCGGCCAAAGCCTGAACAGCAGACTGGAGGGCCACCTTGTCGGCACCACGCACCCTCTCGACGAGCCCATCACCAGAGAGAACGACAGAAGGGCGACCCTTCAGGCCTTCCACCGCGACACCGGCAGGTTTGCCGTTCCGGAAGACCACAAAGGTCGGCATGGCGGCGACGTCGTAGCGACTGGCGATGTTCTGAACATGGTCGACGTTGACCTTGGCGAAAGCAAGCTTCCCCTCCAATGCGTGGTTGTCGGCCAACTCCGAGAAGACTGGGGCGATGGCGCGGCAAGGGGGACACCAGTCGGCGTAGAAGTCGACGACAACGTTGGAGGTCGAGGACAGGAGGGCGTCAAACTCGGCGGCGCTGGCCACCTTGAAGACTTTGCCCGACGTCTCGGGGATGGGAGAGCGGTCGGCGAAGACGGCCTTTGGGGGCATGTTAGTTGATTTGAGCCACAAGGATGTACATCTCGACGCACACCACGAGGTGGATAATAGTGAGGTGATGGGACATACTCTGTAAGCTGCGAACAGCACGACCGCGAGGACGATATATGTGAGTGAGATCATATTGAGTTGCGCAGCTGGTGCCAGCCATATGCGATCTCTTCATGTCAGGTAGATGAAATGTCAAGCGAGGGCCTTTCCACCGGGTTGAGGCAAGGCTGGGCGACGCTCAAGATGACGATTAAAGATAAGGCTGTCGCAGGGTGGAGCTGTGAGCAGGCCCCTTGTCACGTGGGCAAGGTTGCGTTGGTGGACACCAAAGCACCAAGATCTCCTTGGCCAGCACCAGGATCTCCTTGGCCAGCACCAAGATCGCCTTCGCCACCCTGGCCGAAGGCGCACATCTGTCCATCCTTTCCATCCACCGCCGGATAATCTTGTGTGTCACCGGAGCAAATCTCGGGCATTGGGTGTGCATTCTGCCACCATGCACAGCATCTGATATAGACTTACCCTGGCCGACCTACCGACTTAGCTCGCCATGCCGAAAGATCTGCCGTCCAGGACGAGGACCGACATCGCTAACCAGCCTGTTGATCCGAGTGGCCCACTGTGCTGTCCCCGGAGGCTTTTAGACCGTGATGGGCTTAGCGACAGCCCTGGGGGCGGGTTCCGGCCATCTCGCAACCCCCCCACATATCTTACTCCTGACGACACCGGCATCATCGCGTTCAGGCCGAGACGCGAGCTTGTCAACTCATAAGGCTGGTCTCGTCGCCGTCTGGGACGTGAATGCAGACCTTCTTGCAGCCCAAGTCCAGCGAAGGTGTGACCATGAACCCCTCCGGCGAGAAGACTACTGCTAGTGAAATCGAGACGAATGCGGATGGACCCGGTCAGACCAACACCACTGCTTCACCGCGTGAGAACAAGCCGTCGACATCTTCGAACGCCGAGCCCTACCCACCATTGGGTGATGGATCGATCGAGAGAAATGGCCCTCCTGCGCTGCCCTTCTCCAAGGCGAGAGCAATCGTGCTCGTGGCCACCCTTGCGGGAGCCAGTTTCATGAACGTCTGTCACCCCTTTTGGCCGTTGTGAGCATCTTGACTGATTCCTCCAGACCATGTCACTGCAAGCCGTCGTCATCATCTTGCCTGCCATCGGCTCTGACCTCGACATTCCCGAGCAGCGTCTGCAGTGGATCGTCTCGGCCTACTCTCTCGCCTTTGGCTGCTTCCTGTTGCTCTGGGGCCGCATCGCCGACATCTACGGCAAACGCCTGATCTTCGTGGCTGGCTCTGCCTGGGCTGCTGTCATGACCCTTGCCAACGCCTTTGTCCCCAACGAGATTGCCTTCAACTTGTTCCGTGGTCTGCATGGCCTCGGCGCCGCCGCCAATGTTCCCACAGCTATCGGCATCCTCGGCACCACGTTTCCGCCTGGCAAGGCGAAGAATTACGCCTTCAGCGCCTACGCCGCCGGTGCTCCCTTGGGTAGCGTCTTTGGCAACCTCATCGCAGGTTTCATAGCCCAATATGCTGACTGGAAGTGGATCTTCGGCGTCAAGGCCATACTCGCTGGCATGGTGGCCGCCGCAGGCTTTTTCGTCATCCCACCACCCCCGCCGCCCCCACCGTCGCTCGAAGGCCAACCGAACAAGATCAAACAGTCGGTAGATTGGATCGGAGGCGCTCTCATCACCGTCGGCATGCTGGCCCTGCTCTATGCTCTGACCGAGGGCAACGTTGTCGGCTGGGATAGGCCCTGGATCCCCGTCATCATCGTCGTATCCCTGATCATCATCGCCGTCTTTGTCTTCTGGCAGCGCCACCTAGAAAAGAAGGGCGAAAGACCTCCGCTCATGAAGGTCTCGATTTTCAAAAACAAGCGTTTCAGCGCCGCCATGGTCATCATGGGCCTGTTCTTTGCCTCGTTCAACAACTTCCTCGTCTTTGCAACCTACTTCTTCCAGGACTACCAGGGCCTTTCGGCACTCCAAACCACCATCCGCTTCATCCCCACGGGTGTCGTGGGCATCGTCACGGCATTCGTCGTCGCGCTGCTGCTGTCCCGCGTGCCAACCTATCTCCTGCTCGTATTCGGCAACGTTTCCATGGCATTGGCCTGTATGCTGTTCGCCATTCCGATCCCCTCGAACACGACGTACTTTGCCTTTGGGCTGCCCGCCATGATTCTGTCCGTATTCGGCGCCGACACGGCGTGGCCGTCCCTGACGCTGTTCACCTCCAAGTCTCTGCCGCAAGAAGACCAGGCCCTCGGCGGCGCGCTCATCAACTCGGTCGGCCAGATGGGCCGCGCCATCGGTCTGGCGATCAGCACGGCCGTGCAGACGGCCGTCATGGCCAAGGCGCGCGGCGTGCCGGTCATGGACGTCGGCGAGACGAAGCCTTGGGATGAACCCTCGCTGAAAGGTCTGCGGGCCGCCAACTGGATGAACTTTGGGTACGGTGTTGCGTCGCTGCTCATCGTGCTGTTCGTCTTCCGAAGCTCAGAAGTCGTGGGCAGGGCGGAGCCGCAAACGGCGCGCTCCGGCGGCGAGGAGGGCATCATGAATGAGGAAGAGACGGGTGCTGAGAGGAGAAGGGCGTAGGAGCAATGGCAGGACTGACGATCGTAGCACGAAACGGAGTAAATGCGACGAAACAGGCGCCCTTTTGGCTTGCATACACGATTATGATCCGTAACGTTGACGGACGATTCACCAAGGGGCTTGGCAAACAGAACAGAATATGAAGCACCGAGATGCATGGCAACACCACAAAGACAGCCATGAGCAGATTCCGGCGCTATCCAGACGCCCTGCCAGGTTTCACCTCCCTCATCAGGGCCAACCTCTGCTCAGAAGGCCAGGCCTGGATGGGCTGTGGGATGCGGGAGGGAGTCTTCGCGCCCCGCAATACCCGCCATGAACCCACCCTTCGCTCGGCTCCTCAACAATCACCGGTGAGGTGGCCGAGTTGGTTATGGCGCCAGGTTAAGGTCTCCTTAACAGATTTCCTGGTGGGGCAACCCGCGCGAGTTCGAGTCTCGTCCTCATCAACGTTTCCTTTTTGCTGTAGCATCTAGGATTTGTATTGATCATCGTGAGATTGCGTGGCGCGGGTTGCGCTGGGATGCTGGTTTTTGCGCGATCCACTCTCGGCGGATGGGATTTTGATTATGGAGCTTCAGGTCTGGAGCGTTAGGTTAGGTCTGAGATGCTCAGGGGTATGACCAGCTGGTTGGGGACATGTATATCAGTAAAGGGGCACACTTCTGTACTTGATGATTAATGAATTAACTGTCTAGATTTATGCTTTTTGATAATGATGCTGTTTCATAACAATGTTTATTCAGAGACTGGCCTTCGGATTACCTATTAGTTCCTGTCATACCAGTGACCTCGACTACTTCAGCCTAACAGAAGAACAACTGCTTCAGTCCGAAAGAAAAAGACCCCAAAGTCCAAACTCCTTGTACGGCCCGTTGTACCCCTCCCTTTCTATGCAGCAGCAACCTTGTAGCTCAGTTCAATCCGAGACTTGTTCAGAATCATCAAGGACAAGCTCGTCAACGTGGCGCTCGTCAGAAGCTCCAGCACCTGCAGATGAGCAAGCAGCTCCTTACTGATCCAGTTGCGCAGCTCAATGGCGTTCAACGAGTCAAGACCATACGCCGTCAGCGTGGACGCCGGGTCTAGATCGCCGGGCTGAACCATGAGAATCGCCGACAGCTTCTCAATGAGGCCCTTGACAATGGCCTCCGAGGCCTGGTCCTCACAGCCAGCCCGGGAGACGACCTGGTGGATGGATGCCGCCTGGCCGGCGCCCTGGCTGCTCGTGCCAGCGGCCGCCAGCAGGTCGGCGAACCTGGCGTCGGAAGCCGGGTACGGCGGCCGGGCGCTGTCGTCAATGTGCAGGCCCGTCAGGACGAGGCCGTCGCACGACGCCGAGGCGGTGCCGCTGACGGCCGCCGTCAGCAGGGCGAGGAGCTCGGCCTCGTTGGCCGTGCTGCCCTTGAGGTTCTTGAGCACGAGCTCGCGGCGCGCCTCGTTCTCGGCGAGGTAGCCGACGTTGTCCATGGCCGGCAGCGCAATGGCCGTGCCGGCGAGGCCCTGCTGGCGTCGGTGCTGCACGAGGCCCTCGAGGAACGTGTTGGCCGCCGCGTACGCGGCCTGGCCCTTGTTGCCGACGACGCCGGCGACGGACGACAGGGCGATGAAGAAGTCGAGCTTGGTGTCGAGGAGCGCCTTGTGGATGTTCCAGCCGCCCGAGACCTTGGACCGCATGACGGCGTCGTAGTCTTCGAACGTGGTGTTCTCGAAGAGCATGTCCTGCGCAGAGCGTGTTAGCCATATTTCTCAAATCATCAGACTCGGTCAGAAAAGGGGGCTCTTACTCGAAGCACCATGGTCGAATGGATGACGCCGCGGATGGGCGGCAGTGTCGCCAAGCAGTCTTGGACGAGAGAGTCCACGCTCGCAGGGTCGGTGATGTCGCAGGCCCGAACGTGAATCTTGCAGCCGAGCGACGCCAGTTCTTGCGTGAGATCGTCCGTCTTGGCGTTGCTCCCGCTGCGGGAAACCAAGACGACGTGGCCCGCATCGTTCTGCGCCATCCACTTGGCCATGGAACGACCGAGGCCGCCTGTGCCGCCAAAGATGAGGTACGAGGCATCCTTGGCGAACTGCTTCTGTTTCGTAGCGCGGTGCGTGGCCTTGACCTGCTCGTGGGCGCCTTGGGCAATGATCAGCTTGCCCGTCGTCTTGCCACCCTGAAGCAGCCTAAGGCCCTTTTCGACATCGGGAGATGCCCATGACCGTGATGGGGTACATGGTATGCAGCGCCTCGCGGCCCATGGCCTCCATGACGGCATTCATGACCCGGCCCATAATCTTAGGCCGCTCCCCGGCGAGCACGGTCAGGTCAACCGAGCTGAACAGGGCGTTGTTCTCGAAACGGCGCATCTCGAGACGCGTGTTGGACGTGATGTCACGCTTGCCAATCTCGATGAACCGGCCAAAGTGGGCAATGCAATCCCACGTCTCGCGCAGGAGCTCGCCGGCCAGGGAGTTGATGACCACATCGACACCCTCGCCCTGCGTGTCCCTGCGGATCAGACGGGCGAAGCCAGCGCTGCGGCTGTAGTAGATGCGGTCCTGGGGAATCCCGTACTTGTCCATGATGAGCTGCTTCTTGTCGACGCTGCCCACGGTAGCAAAGATCTCGGCACCAACCATCTTGGCGATCTGGATCGCCGCCTGGCCGACACCGCCCGCGGCGGCGTGGATGAGGATACGCTCGCCCTCGGCCAGGCGCGCAATGTCCATGAGACCGTACCATGCGGTGCAGTAGGCGACGGGAATCGAGGCACCGACCTCCATGGTCATGTTGTCCGGCATCTTGGCCGCGCTCGTGAAGTGGCAGCGCGCAAAGGTGCGGTAGGCGCCCCTCGGCATGGCGCAGACCCTGTCGCCGACCTTGAGGGCCGTGACGTTGGATCCGACGCGCGCGATCCTGCCACTGCACTCCACGCCGATGTAGGGACTGGCAAGCTGACCCATGGAGATGACGACATCCTTGAAGTTCATGCCCGTGGCCTCGACGGCAATCTCGACGTCGTCGGCGCTGAGAGGCTCGTCATCATCGTCCTTGAAATACAGCGTGTCCAGGGCTCCGGCACGTCCAATGTCGAGCTTGAGACGCCTCGCGGGCTGGGCAAAGTCTTGGAGGTAGGGAGCCGACACGTTGGTCTCGCGCTGGACGAAGAGGTTCATGCTTGCGTCCTCGACAATGCGCGGCACGGCGAGCGCGCCATCGACCTCGGCGAATTCCATCTCGGGCGTGGCCGAGTTGTCACCGCCAACAAGCCTCTCGAAAGCCTGCGCAATGAGTTCCGCTTGCGATATCACATCGAGGCGAGACTCGGGATCCAGGTCCAGAAGCGACGCCGGCTTGCCGATCTCCGACCGGATCGTGCGCACGAAGCCCTGGGCCATGCTGCGATGGGGGTTCTGCGCGTTCTTGAGCGCGCCCGAGACGACCCACAGGAAGCTCTCGCTCTCGAGCGCCATGCTCTGCACCTGCTTGAACGTCTCCGGTGTAGCGTCGGACAGCACGGAGCCGTCGAGGTCCTGGAGGTTGATGCAGACCTTGCCAGCTGCACCGAGGTTGGCGAGAGGGCTGACCTCAGGGGCGCGGCCGGTCTGGGCCTCGACCCAAGCTGCCACGGCGCTGATGAGAGGGTCGCTCTCGGGGCGCTGCGTGATGAGAACGACGGGCGCGTTGAGCGTGAGCTTCTTGGCCGGCTGCTGCGTGCTGCCGCTCGCGACGGCAGCCGCCTCTTGGCTGGCGGCCTCCTCGGCCACGGGCTTCCACTCGACCTTGTAGCAGAGTGGTTTGGTCTCGAGGTCGCTGCTGCTGTCGTCCTTGATCGGGTTGACCTCGAAGCCCTTGACCATGATGGCGGGGATGGAGGCGTCGCTCGACTCCAAGGCATGGATGCAGCCCTCCATGGCCTTTGGGTTTCGCAAGTCGCTGTGGCCGTTGACGACGACTTGGTAGGGGGTGCCCGCCGTGGAGTTCATCAGCTTGTTGAGTCGCATCTCCTTGATGGCCGAGGGCATGTACAGGCAGGGCATCTCGCCACGACCGGCTCCCAGGACGACAAAGATGTGCTGGAACAGGAGATCGATAAACGCCGCGTTGAAGATGGACGGCGCCTCGTACTTCTCGGGCATCGAGGCGCCAGTGTCGGGCACCACGACCTCTCCGAGTCCGTACCTGAAATCGTCACAAGCCTGCAGGCTCAGGATGTTTTGGAGGACGGGGCCGTAGCCGGCTCCGAGCTTGCGAAGCTCGTCGTAGAAGAGCTGCGTAGGGATCTTGCTCTGGCAAACCTGCCTGGCCTTCTCCACCGTGTCGGTGACCTCGTCGCGCAGCGAGGCGCTGATGGGGTTCGACTGCTCGCGCTTGGTGACCGAGATCAAACCGCGAGAGTGCTCAACCCAGCCCCTGGATTCATGGTAGGAGTGGATGCGGAACTCGTCCCACTTGTCCGAGTATGAGCGAGTGCCTTCGCTGAACCGCTTGATGCTCAGTAGAACTTCGTACTCCTCGCCGTCAGTCAAGAGGAAAGGTCGCATGACCTGCATCTCCCTGAGGCCGAACTCGTCGAATTCGACACCACGGATGGAGGCCAGCTGAGCAGCTGCTTCCACCGCCATGCTGATGAAGCCAGAGAACGGGAACGCCGTCAGGTCTTGCATCCTGTGGTCCCGCAGCCAGGGGATGTCGTCCGTTCGGATCATGTTCCTCCATGTCGGCTCCATGTCGTTCGAGAGATTGGTCAGGGTGCCGAGGAGATCATGGCGCGCAAAGGGCTTGAGCCTGTGCTGGCGACTGACCCGGCTCTCCCTCCAGTACTTCTGTCCAGACCAAGGGTAGGGCATGAGATCGGAAACCAGCTTGGGCTTGGGGTCCTTCTCCGCGTTAACGGCCGCCATGTCCAGGGTAACGCCCTTCTCAAAAAGCTTGCCGGCCAGAGTCAGCGCGGAGAACGTGGCGTCCTCGTTGCGCTTCAGCGAAGGGACGTAGAAGGCCTTGCTGGCCTTGTCCGAGCCGAGAGACTTGAGGATCTGCTTGACAGGTCCCTCAAGCGCAGAGTGCGGGCCGACCTCGACCACGATGTCGGGCTGATCCTCCAGGAAAAGCGCCTGCAAAGCAGTCGAGAAGAGCACGGGCTTTGTGAGGTTCTGAACCCAGTACTGCGCGTCCAGATCCGCACCACTGACAAGCCTCTTCCCGTGAAGGGAGGAGAAGAAGGCCACTCTGCCAGTGCTGCTGGCCTTGGTGTCCTGGATTGTCGACAGGTAGTGCTCAGCCACGTTCTCCATGTGGACAGAGTGATAGGCAACGTCAACCATGAGCTTGCGGTTGAATGTGCCCTTCTCTTCGAGACGGGCAGCAAGCTCGTCAATGGCCTGCGCGTCACCCGAAATGGTGACCGACGAAGGCGAGTTCTCGCATGCGATACCGCAGTGTCCACTCTGAATCTCCCGGATCATCTCACGGGCTGTCTGCGCGCTGCAGCCAGCGGCCAACATGGCACCGCGCAGGTCGCCGTGCTTGGCCTTCAGTCTCAGGACAGCCTGTCCTCGGTGAAAGGCAGCAGCAATGGCGTCCTTGAGGTTGATAGCGCCTGCAGCGTAAGCAGCCGCGATCTCGCCACTGGAGTGTCCGACGACAGAAGATGGCTGGACGCCCCACGACCTCATCAGGTTGGTGAAAGCCAGTTGAAGTACGGTGCAAGCCGGCTGGCTGATGTGAGCCTTGTTGATCTGTGAATGCTCCTTGTCCTTTGTCAACTCCTCGATCAGGGAGAAAGTGGCTCCGAGCTTCTTGAGCTCCTCGTCCGCTTCCTTCACTGTCGAGGCGAAGACGTCGTGAGACACCATGAGCTCTCGTCCCATGGCATGCCACTGCGCGCCCTGGCCGGTGAAGACAAAGGCGATCTTGGGGGTTCGCAGAGCCCTGATGGGCTGAGCCGCAGGGCTGTTCAGGGCACGGGTCAGATCGCTGGCCGAGGACCCAACCACGGCCGTGCGCCAGGAGAGCTGGGAGCGGCGGTGGGCAAGTGTGTATGCCAGGTCGCGGAGGAGCTCTCTGTCGAAAAGATCGGGATGCTTCTCGAGCCAGACGCCCACTATAGCCTTGAGACGGCCCACGGCGTCCTTGTCGTTGCCGGACAAGACGACGAGGCGAGGTCCAATGTTGGACTCGTTGTAGCCTCTGGCGAGCGTCGGAGGCGCCTTCTCGAGCACGCAGTGCGCGTTGGAGCCACCGAATCCAAAGTTGTTGACGCTGACGAAGCGCTTGCCCTTGGGCCATGGACGCAGAGACACGGGGACCTTCATGTTCCATTCAGCAAAGGGGATGCTCTCGTTTGCCTGGCGATAGTTGACGTTGGGCAGGATGAAACCCTTTTGAAGCATCAGGGACGCCTTGATGACTGCGACGAGGCCGCTTGCCGGCTCAAGATGTCCGACGTTCGACTTGACAGAGCCAATGTAGAGAGGATGGCGGGGCGTTCTGTCTTCGTTGAAGACCCGGTGGAGAACCGTAGCTTCGATGGGATCTCCGACCTTGGTGCCGGTACCGTGTGCCTCAACAAAGCCGGTGTCCCTCGGGTTGATGCCGGCCTTGGCATAAACCTCACGGATCAACTGCTCTTGGGCATCGGCAGAAGGAGTTGTCATGCCTATCAGACACTGTCAATTCCATTCCCATGTTGCGTTGATAGGAGGCAAACTTACCGACTGTCTTGCCGTCTTGGTTGACGCCCGTGTTGACGACGACGGACCAAACCTTGTCGCCGTCTTTGAGAGCCTGGTCAAGAGGCTTCAGGATAACGCAGCCAGTGCCTTCACCACGCGCGAATCCCGACTTGGCGCGGTGGTCAAAGGCAAACGTAGCTCCCTTTTCGGAGAGCAAGCTGGAGGACATGTCAGAGAGCTGTCGTTGCTCGTTTAATGAGGCACCGACTTACCGGTTGGTCGACAGGGACACAACATGGGCCGGCTGGATGTTGAGGTGAGATGACGCAACAAGCGCTTGCTTGGTCTCGCCTGAGCGAATGCTCTGCACTGCCTGGTGCAGGGCATGCAAGCTTGAAGAACATGCCGTATCGATGGCAAAGCAAGGACCACGCAGGTCGAAGTAGTGGGAGATGCGGCCCGCCTGGACGCCTTGGTGGTTACCAGTGGCATCGGACATGGGCACGGTGTCGAGGTCTGCAAGAGACCCGAGGCCATAGTCCGGGGGGGACGCGCCAACAAACACGCCCATGTTGGTCCCGGCAATGCTCTCCTTGGGGATACCCGCATGCTCTAGTGCTTCGTAGGTGCACTCAAGCAGCTGTCGCTGCTGAGGATCTGTTGATCTCTGTCAGTCAAAGTGCAGTGAGGGCCAGCCACGAGGGGCTGTAAATGGTTTGACGTACCCATGGCACTAGCTTCATTGTTGGTAATGTTGAAGAAAGGTGCATCGAACTTGGCGATGTCCTCTTTGAGAAAGTAGCCGCCTACGCTGTTAAAGCAGCCCCTTTTCTCGGGGTTCGGGTGCCAGTAAGCTTCCTTGTTGAAGCGATCCTTGGGGATTTCGCCCCAACCGCTGCGAGCTCTGCACATCAGCGTCCAGAAGTCATCGAGTGTCGAGACTTCGCCGGGCAGCCGGCACGACATGCCAACAATGGCCACGGGCATCAGGGTAGGCGCCATTGCGAAAATGATGGTAAGGTACTAAAAGTAACGACAGTGCGGTAAACGAGAAAGAAGGATGCAAAATCGAGTGAACTGATGAGATGCTTAATCCAAGACCCAAGACTGTTGCCATGAGAAAACCGCCTTGCTAACTTATAGTTTTTGATCGGCATACGATCCATTGAGTTCTGCATGGCCTTCTCAGCATGACAAATGTACAATGCCCATGCCGTGGATGCAATCGGCCAAGACCAGGCACATTGCACGATATCGGTCTTCCTCGCGGCCTTTAATCCGGAAGCAGAGTTGATTCACCGATCGACGTCCTGCTTTCGCTTGACACACAACGCCTGAGCTGAATGGAAGGACCCGTCCCATATCTCGGCGTGATTTTCGGTTCGATGAAGAAGCTTGAACGATGAGTCCATATGAGACATTGTGTCAGAGCCTCATCACCCGAACCCCTGACAGCTGATGGAAACGTTCTTTCGAAGCCTTCTATGAGTGAGACAAAACGCCCGGGCCAGGTAGCGCGCCTGACTACCGGCAGTTCAGTGAGACAACAGCACGGCAAGTCTTGTGCAGCTGAGACAGCCGTGTTCAGGAATAAGGCTACATCAAAAAAAAGGTGGAAAGTGGGATGATGGAGGAGAAAATGCCACAACGTGAGATAGCATTTAAGGTCGCTGCTGCGCAACCAAAGCCATCACAAATCAGTCTGGCCCTTCAACCCGCATCCTAGTCACGATATCGTCGCCCGTTATCCAAGATGAAGTTCCTCTGCCTGCATGGTACCTTTGGAAGCGCAAAGGTACGGCCTTCCTCACTCCGCCTCTCCTTCGTCTCTTAGTACTAAGTGAAGTCTTCGGTATAGAAATTCAAGATTCAACTGGCGCCTTTTGTTCAGAAGACTCAGGAGGACTCCGACCTCGAGTTCGAATGGATTTCGGGACTACACGAGGTCGACCCCCCGGCCGAGTTTGAACACTACTTTGGTGAGAAGCCTCTGTACAGGTTCATGCCGTTCAATGGCATCCGCGCGTACGACGACCTCTTCACCAAGTGGAGGCAGTGCACTGACGGGGCATCGACTGAGGAGAACATGCGCCTGCTATTTGGAAGCGAGGAGAACTTTCTGCACCAGAAGGCCTGCCTCCAGGAGACGATCGACGCAGTCCTCAAGGCCATTGACGACGACCCAGAGATCGATGTAAGTTCCAACGCCCCAAGACAGAAGCATGCTGTGAGTGGCCTGACTGACCGCTGGTACACAGGGTATCCTTGGCTATTCGGAAGGAGCGACGATAGCCGCGACCGCGATTCTAGAAGAACGACGCAGGTGGGAGGAAGAAGGAATTCCAAGGAGGATCAACGTAAGCCACCATTCCATGCCCTCTTCCCTGTCTGATACCTACCACGACAAGTGGCTGATTCACACCCCACAACATAGTGCGCCATCTTCTTTGCTGGGTGCCCTGCCATCTCCCTCAAGGACGGCAGCATTTCGATGCTGTCTGATGCAGAGGCCGAAGATGCCATCGACATTCCAACTTGCCACATCGTCGGCTGCAACGACCCTTACATTGATGGGTCGATTACCTTGTACGACATGTGCAACGAGGACAAGGCTGAGCTTTTCGACCATGGCCAGGGTCACGTCATCCCGCGGGACCCCAGGACCTTGGAAGAACTGTCTGTTTCTGTGTCCAGGATCGTTGGCATGGCCAATGCCAACAAGCGCAAGCCCTCGGTCACGGGCTCCGAGTCGGATGCTTCCCGAAGGTCATCTACCTGGTCTTCCGGGAACAGTTCTACCGTTGAGCTGGTATGAAATCTCCTGGATCAAACCAATTAACCGTTTTCCTTCAAGCTGAAAATTATCAGACGGCTATCTGCACATGAGTGTAGTCGTCGACCATGAGTCTTTTTGGAGTTGAAACGGTGCAAAAGCTTCTACCGCGGCTGGATAGAGTAGAAGTTGGATGTCGCCGGCTACTACTCCACCGCAATAGTTTGGGACAGTAAAACAATAATAATAATCATAGTTAATTCTTCCTTCTTAGAACCCGATGTTTCACTTGCCTTCGCGTATCCCGTAGTTCAGGGTGACACTGCTACACCCTGCAAGTAAGCAATCAAGAAGTGTCCCAAAGAGACGATGGTGCTCAACCGACGGAAAAGCTTCGAGCGAGAAATCAATCAAAGGAAACAATTGAAAAAGCGCCATGATAAAATACCAACTAAAATTCTCATTACCATCGAGAGTAAAATCTCCAGACTCCAATTGCCCGCCTTCCTGTTCCCCAGGTCGTACCACGCCTAGTCATGATCTGATATGTTATCCCCTACACGTCCTTCCTCACCTGCCTCGCTTTCCGACAAGACAAGGCTTCGGCAGCCTTTATGAGGCATCGAATTTCCATCATGAACCATCATATTCATGCAGCCCAAGACTCGACAATCTCAGCCAGAGTGCTTTCGCTCCCCACGTTGCCTGGGAACACCACGTACGGGACGCCTTGGTGTCGACTCGTTTCCTCGTCACAACGCCATAGTGGCACCCCGGGAGCTGCCTGGCCCATGATCCGCGCTCTTCGCATCCTCAAGCCTTTTGTCGCCGCATCCGAAGAGGTGATGCCGCCCTTGGCGATGACATAGCGCGGCCGCACTTGGATCTGCTCGAGAAGCCTGACCAGTGCCGCGGCAACCTTCGACCCGATCTCCAGCGAGCTGATGGCATCCGACGTCTTGACAAGCGTCCGGGATGTCATGACAAGAATATCTTTTCCGGCGGATATCTGGTCGTTGGCCTCTGCAGCCGCCTTGTCGACGATGGTGCGCTCCGACTCGGCAGACTTGATAAGGTCAGCAACTTCGAGCTCAACGACGGCGAGCTTGTCCTGGCGCCTCTCCCGCAAGACTTTCAGCTGGGCTGTTGTCTTTGGAACGTATGATCCAGCCAGAATGAGACCGCCAGCGTGGGAGGATGCAGACACGCTCGCCGTCGGCGGCTGGACGTCAGCCAAACTCATGGGCGGGATGCCCTTGATGCCGAGCCTCGACGATACAAACGCCGCAGCTGTACGATACAGGTAGCGTCTACCCTCTTTCTCTGCGGCGAGCAACCCAGAAACGAAGACGTCCATGTCGGATTCGGCAGCAGCATTAACAATGACAACTCCATCCGAACCGGCCGGTCGCGATAGAAGCTTCGCCTTGACGCCTTCTGGTCCGCCAACGCGAATGTCGTCGATGGTAATGGAGAGGAAAGATGACTCATTAAAGCGGGAGCCGCACTTCTCGAGGATGTACTGCCGCAAATTGGAGTTTTGGTACCCAAAGGTGGCGTCCTGGGCAAACGGCGTCTGGCTGGCAGGGACAAGCACATCGCCCTCCTTGACATAGTGAACGTCGTCTAGCGTGTAGCGTCCGCCCTGCAGGAAGAAAGGAGTCAGGACCCAGGCGTCGAACTTTCCCATCGCCTGCTCGACGGCCTCGGGCTCTTCAGGTAGGTGACCACGTAGGGTGGAGTCTCCGCGCAAGACGACGTCGAAGCGCTTGTTTGTCCTTTGCGCTGCCTCTTTGACGTTGTCGCAGATTTCGAGGATGAGGTTTCGAGCCTCAGGACCGGGAAGGGCGCGACTGTTGGTCAGGATGAAGAAGCCTCGGGACTCCCTCTCGAACTGGCTTTCCAAGGTCTCGACGTCCCAAACCATCAGGACGTCAATGTCGTGGCAAGTTTGCGTCCCAGTCGGATCATCGTCCAAGACAACTAGGATAGGTGCTTCGCCACCATCAACATACTTCTTTGTCGATTCGAGGACATCAAGCGGGAACTCCGCAGGCAGAGCCTCGAGCGTCTCCTTGGCGGGCAAGGGCTGGGCCGCTGCCTGCACGGCCTCACTGGCGGCGTGAGGTTCAGGCTTTCCCGCACTGCCCGAGACAGAGACACCGGCGCCCTCCCACCACCGAACGACGCCTGCATCAGCCTCCCTTGACCAACCCTTGGCCGCTCCTGCGAGATAGAGCGTATGGGCAGCCGATGACATGGGCGCAAAGTACGTCAATCGTTTCGTCTCATCAAGCACAATGCCGAGATCCTTGACGAAGATGGCGAGGGCAGAGTGCGGCGTCCAGTCAGCCTCGAGCATCTGCGGCACTCTGTTCTCAAACATCCAGCTCCACGCAGCCGCGTTTTTCAGCAGCTCGAAGATCTGACGCGTATCGAGACCAAGTCGTGCGGCGAACGCCATGGCTTCGGCGGCGGCAGCAATGTGTACACCAGCGAGGAGTTGGTTGATAAGCTTGACCGAGGAGGCGGCACCAACACCACCCTTGACCTGGCACAGATTGGTAGGAAGGCCAGTCATGGAGAGAAGGACGCCATTGGCCTTGGAGATGGTGGACTCGTCGCCGGAGCAGATGATGGTAAGGTTGCCGTTGGCGGCACGCACAACACCTCCGCTGACGGGCGCATCGAGGAGGGTAATGCCGCGTCCCAGCCCGGTCAGACGTTTCTCGAGGGACCGAACGAAAGATGGGGGCACAGTCGAGCTGAGAATGACAATCGAGTCGTCGGGCAGGGCGGCGGCAGCGTCGCCAGATCCGAACAAGGCATCTGTAGCCTGCGTGGCATTCTGTACCATGAGAACCAGGACCTCAGCGCCCTTGGCAGCGTCGGCGGGCGAAGTCGCTGCGGATGCCCTGCCGCCGCCAGAAACAAACTTTTGAATCGCAGGCTCGTATACATCGTACCCATGCACAGCAAAGCCGCCTCGCATCATGGAGCTCGCCATGCCCTGGCCCATGGCGCCAAGGCCGATCATGCCCACCTTGGAGATCTCCAGCGGTGTTGTGACGGGCGTCGGGTTCGCGAGCGCAGCTGCTGGTGCAGCAGAATCGCTGTCCTTATTCGCGACAGGCGAATTTGGCTGGAAGACGCGAACGAGGCCAGAGTCATCTTCGCGACCGTAACCCTGCGCAGAGCCCCAGATGTACAGTTGCTCAGCGGCTGAGGCGAGGGGCAGAGGAAACTGCAATGACCTTGCACTCGACACAACGATACCCTAGCAGCGCGTGATGAGAAGACTGACACAGGCAGGACAGGGGAGGCTACGACGCACCATGTCCTTGACAAAGATATCGAGAGCAGACCGAGGCGTCCAATCGGCATCGAGCATGTGAGGGACGCGGTTCTCAAACGCCCACGAGTTTCCGGCGGCGTTCTTGATAATCTCAAAGACTTCCCTGGTGTCGAGACCGGCCTTCTCCGCGAGGCCCATAGCCTCTGCGGCGGCGGCAATGTGGGTGCCGACGAGGCACTGGTTGACCATCTTGACCTTACTCGCGGCGCCCGGGCCACCAGAGATCTCATATAGCTTCTCGGACATTTCATGGAGAATCTGATCTGCCCGAGCGAGCGCCTCGGATGATCCAGAGGCGAAGATTGTGAGTGTGCCATGGGCGGCTCGAACTGTGCCGCCAGACACGGGGCAGTCGACAATGAGGATGTCCGATCGACCGACTTGGGCTATTCGAGGCGCTAGTGTGTCGTAATATGCTGGCGGGACTGTCGAGCACAGCAAGATGGTCGCATTGTGTGGCAGGGCTGGTTCGTGTGTGAGTGGCTCGTTGCGGATGAATGGAGGGAGGATCCCAGTACTCACCCTCGAGGGCGCCAGTCGCCGCGTCGAACAGAATACTGTCGACCTGCTGCGCATTGGCGGCCATGCAGACGAGGAACGCGCTGTTGTGGGCAACATCTCGAGGCGACTGGCCTGGATGCCCGCCGTCGGCCACGAACCTCTCGACGCTCGGCTGCCAGACGTCGTATCCCTTGACTGTGTACTTTCCACCCTTCTGCAGGTTGCAGGCCATGCCAAAGCCCATGGCGCCGAGGCCAACGAATCCAACCGACGTCGACATGGTGCTGGGACCAGACTCAGACTGTTGGGCCATTGTGTCGTCAGACTGACTGTTTTGAAAACTGAAGCTCCGGGGCGTACGACAGACCATGGACCAGACATGGCGAAATTCCGTCTTATAGGGCATGAGTCCATCACGGCCCTTCTGCCAGATCGCCCCCGGCCGAGTCCAAAAAGCCGATCATTTCTCCTCCGCCATGCACTTCTTCTGCTGGCCGCCCGAACCGGAAGCGTCCTCGGCTCGAAAAACCGACCACAAACGGACCGCGAATGGACCGCGAATGGACCGCGAATGGCTTGACTGGTTGGCCTGAACAACCAGAAAAGCCATGACTCGCGACCACCAGGGGGTTAACGAGGTCTCGCCCACCCCGCAATGGTGCGGTCTGAAGTCCGCTCAGCTTATATAGAGGGTCTGCCCATCTGCGACGCGGGCAGAACTGCTATCCCTTTGCCGGTGTTCCCCCCGCCGCCTGTTCGTCCTGCTTTCTTCTCCATCCGATCAACCCCAGCTTTCGGTCTTCTGCCCGTCTGGGGAGAACTTTAGGCCTCTGCATAACCTTTTCTTCTGTTCTCCATCTTTGCCTCCGGCCGGCCACTAAGCCGCTAAGCCGTTCAGGATGAAGAGGGCGCGGATCGAGGAGCCTGTCGTGTCGAGCACCAGTGGACATGGCAGTGGTTCGAGTGCCATTCCCAGCGGCCGGGGCAGCACCTCGGAGCCGCAGGTCCACCAATCCAAGATCTCTCGGAAGATCCGCGCCTGTGAGTTTTCCATCCCCCCCGCAAGTTCCTTTTCGAGCCGTGATGTGATGATCTGTTCTATGCGGTGGTCCACATCTCACGTCTCGCCGCCGCCGATGGCTGCTTGCCTCGGTTCACAGACCCATGTCCAGTCATGCTCATGCCTCTGTTCACCCCCTCTCCCCTCTGCCCACCCTACCATTGCGGCGCATGGTTCTGATCCATCACAGGTCAACAATGTCAGAATCGCAAAATCAAGTGTGACATTGAGCAGGGGCAGTCGCGATGTGCACGTTGCACTCGCATGGGACTAGAATGCGTCATAAACAAGAGCCTACAGACCCTCCTCGATGACGAGAATCAGTGGAAGAAGGAGATGGAACAGCAGCTGCGTTCTC